AATTTGATAATAGAGTGATTTAGAATACTAGTGTAATAAGGTGGTGGTTAATGACCTTATGGTCGTGTATGAGCTAGAGAGGGAGTACTGTATCAGAGAGTATCCCCTGATGTAATTAATTTGAGCTGGTGATAATAGTGTGGTGGAAAGAGAGATAAAAATGAAGGGGGAGAGATGGTTTGTTGATAGGTAAAAGAGGGAGTAAGAGTGTGACAGACAGAGTCAGAGAGAGAGAGACAGAGACAGAGAGAGAGAGACAGAGAGAGAGAGAAGGGGAGAGAGAGAGAGGGGGGGAGGGAGAGAGAGAAAGAGGGAGAAAGAGAGAGAGAGACAGAGAGAGAGAGAGAGAGAGAGAGAGAGACAGAGAGAGAGAGAGAGAGAGGGGGGGAGAGAGAGAGAGAGAGACAGAGAGAGAGACAGACAGAGAGAGAGAGAGAGAGAGAATAAAGCTATTAGATTGAGAAGAGATCATTAATCATGTAACGCCTTGGGTGGAATATGAGTTAAGAGTACAAATTAAATTAAATTAATAGTATACCAACTTACGGTCAAAAATGCACGCGCAACTTATTGTGAAATATCTCCTTACCTATCAAACATAGATTCTCCAACTTTTGCACAGTGACTTATATCAATTTGTCTTAACAGGGGGATATTTTTTCAAACTCATGCACACTGTATTCTAGAAAATTCCTTAATAAGTACTAATTAAAAAATCCCAGTCGATTGTTTCTACAAATTAAAAAAAATTACAGCTCCGACAATATTGCTTTTAAAAGCAAGTCTGTCATTTTTTTTCCAATCGCAATAGCATGCATGCTTATTGAACGTATGTTTAGGAAACCTTTAGTGTAAAAAGAATGTGAAAAAGTGTAATTTAATTGGCGAGCTAAGACGTAGGCCATATTATGCGTATGCAAAATGTGTGTGAGAAGCGGGAAGTGCAATGAACAATCACATTTTTCGCATGATGGAGATTTATAGGCCTAGTATTTTATATAAATTTATGAAGAACATCTTTTTTGATCGAGCCTCAATTGTTGTGAAAAAATATAATCTGTTAAGACCTTTTTTTTTAAATACAAACTGCTGTGCAAAGTATGGGTGACATTGATTCTCCGGTTAAAGAGATATTTGAGGAAATGTTGAGCCACGAATTTTTGACCGCACTATAGTTACACGACACCTGCGTGCAAAAGTAGTTCAGTTATACTAATGTTGTTTTATTATTAATGTGGACAGGCGTAAAATATTATATGTGATGCGCTTGCAAATAAACTTTATTTCGTCTGTGCTTGGTTCACAACCCGACGTTCTGTCAAATCTCTACAATAGTTTACTTCGCTTTTCATCTACCTTTTCCAAGCTGTCTTCTTTTTCCTTTCTTTTCATGTTATTGTTATTGTCACTGAATATGAGTTGATCTTCCGTCTTGCGCGCTATCAAGACTTAGTGCGTGCTCAGGCGTGTTCTCTCATGCAAAAGTGAGTAAATTTGCGGCGTTTACTAGCGTCATTAAATGGGGCTTAGGGGCCTATTTCTTTTAGGTCGCAAAGCTTAAAAATGTACTCACGTCTGCCCGCAGAATGCACCTGCGCACACACACTATTATCCTACTCATTTTTGTCACAACCATTCCCTTTGTGTAAATTTGTTCATCTCTTTTTTTCTCTCACGAACACCCCCCCTCCCTCATCTCTCTCTCTCTAACACACACACACACACAAACACACACACATACTCACACTTTTTCTCCCTCTCTCTCTCCCACTCCTTCTTACTTTCTTTCTTTCTTTCTTTCTCTCTTCCATTCTGTCTGTTTTTCACACACACACACACACACACACACACACACACACACACACACTCACACACTCTCTCTCTTTCTCTCGCTCTCTCTTTTCTCTCTCTCTTTCCCCCTCCCTCTCTCTCTCTCTCTCTCTCTCTCTCTTTTTGTGAGCGTGGGTTCGAATCCCAGTCCCACCTTTTTTTTTTTTCTTCTTCTTCTCATCGTCCCAACTTACCAACAATTTTTCCCATAATTATAATTTGTTGCTTTTCAGTTTTTTAAAGTGGTAAATAAATAAATAAATCGCCTGTGCTGTCTGTTGTTCTCGTAATCATAACACACTAGGCTAAAATAGGTTTAGCTGGTCTGACGCCGGTGGACGCGGATCTTTTTGAGTCGCTTCTACACCATGAAAAAACTTCGTACATTAGCCTGGCCTGGAGGTGATCTTATTTTGGTGGACGCGTAGGCTAACGCAGGTAGGACGTACGGTCCCCTAGCGCCAAACACTACGGGGGCGTACGGTCCCCTAGCGCCAAGCGCTATTGGGGCGTACGGTCCCCTAACAACTAACATCAGCCTTTCATAAAACACTTTACATTCCTTTGAAGGGAAGCAACTAAGAAAAATAAAGATGATGACTGTAAAATATGGGTTAATTTCCGTGTCAATGTCATTTGATAAGAATTTGAGAGAGGCCGTTTTCGTCCCACAATTTTCATTTTTTGTTTTTCTTTGCAATTGATTCGATTACTTATACTTATAGGTTATTACTGCAATTTGCCACTCTGATTCCAAAATAGTTTTACGATGCACGTGAAAAAATCAGTGTTTGTTATTATCACATTGACAGGGAGGTCGAAGCAGGATTTCGTGCTGGATGAAAATTTGTTTTAAAAATTTGCAGAACAAATGTCTCTGATTAATTCAGCAGTTTCTATAAAAATCCTTGTAATACAACTTGTTCGGAATCTGTTATAAATCTGGGGATGTGTGTTATTCTGCTCCAGTGAGTCTGTGCAGTGTCTCTCCCTATGAGCTTCCTTCGTTTTCTTGCCGTCCTACCCCTACGCTCTCGTCTTTCTTTTTTTCCCTCCCCTTCTCATCACTTGGGTGAAG